GCTGTTGTTGAGCATTCATTTCAGTGAGCTGGCTCCGTTCGTCAGCCTCTGTGCTTCTCTCAGGCGGGCAGACACATCACAGCTGATGGAGCAGCAGCTCTGGACTCTGGAAGGATTGTTTAGTACCAGCTGGGGAATTGGCTCATCTGCAGTAACCTCGTCACGGGGAAAGCTAGCCTTGAGAGACGCTGATGAATGTGGTTGAGTCACACCACAATATTTTTAAGGAAATGGCTTGAAAATTTTATGTTTGTGCAAAGCAACTTGTTCCACTTTAAATGTTGTTTTCATGAATTTCTCATACTGGCAAAAATTAAAAGAATTATTATTTCTTACAATACACACACCCCCACCCCCCAATATTTTGGAACTGAGAGTGAGCTGAAACACTACTCTTTCTCCCAGGCTCTGCATAACATGCTACTGTGGGATAGGTCACTTTTAAATTCACCAGACCTGTGACCATGGAACTCAAGCTCCAGTGCTTACGCTTTCAAGCTGCTCTTAATTTTTACATTCCCTATCACTGGAAAACTAGCCGAGTAAAATACCTGCATTATATTTACCTCCAGCAAAATGTTTGCATTCTAAGAACTGCAAGTCTGAAAAAACCATACATTATTCTCTAACTAATTTCACCCTTCCTGAAGTACTTATAACCACCAAAATGAGGGGGTCTCTGCCTAAAGCTCTGTAATGCAGAGTCAGCTATCCAAATGAAGCCCAAGACAAAAGCAGTTTTTGGAAAACTGGAAACTTTTGATCCTTTGAAATGTGGTGGAGGTAAAGACCAAAGTTCTGTGCTATTCTCACAAGGCCACAGAGATGAATGTCCTCCTCCTCATTCCCCTTCCCTGGCCACCAGAGACTGGCTGGTAGGTACAGTACCGAAATGCTTGCCACATCTGCCAAGGATGGTACGTTCCTGCCTGTGAGAATTAAAATTATTTAACTACAGCTTCCACTTTATCATGAGACAAGCTGAAAGTGTTCCTATACCCATCTCGGCATGAAAACAGGAATGCTGGAAATTTAGCGCTTGTTCCCTAACCACCAACAATGTCAGTACAACTGAAATCAGTCCACAAGAAGGGGAAAAGATCTGAGAAAAAAAAAAGTCATTAGAAACAACTGGCATGAGATGAAGATGAAACCATACATATCTTGTAAAGCTCTTTGCGGCAATAGAACATACAGATAACTACAAGTTCAATCCAAACCAGACAGGATGCCGGGAATTGCCCTTTTCTACCAGCGTCGACAGCAGAATTTACTACTTGAGTCTGAAGATGTATGTTTCAGGGGATAAATCACTAAATCTGAAACAAAATGGCCAGTGGTGTCTTCACAAAGAAGAACAATTTTTTCCGTGTAGGTGCAATTTATTACTAAATTCACCATAACCTACTATTTTGCTGCAAAGATGCTAATACTACCACACTCAGAAAATTAAAAATTAATAAAGCAGATGAAAGCCTTTGACCTACCCTCAGTGGAACATTTGGGAGAAAAATGCATTTCACAGGATGGAGTCAGGCATACATGATTTTCATTTATTTAACAGTGTTGTCATGACATTAAGGCATCTCCCCTTGCAAGAAACTCTCATTATCAGAGACTAAGAGGTTATCCATAGGAGCATTAAAAGACTTTTTAAATTCTGATGTATGACGATTAACTACCCAGTGTAGCAGAAAAAAATGGCTAAACAGAGTCAGTAGCATCACATGTTTCAAGAACAACAAATAAAACTGCAGAAAACCAGGCCAGCCTCATTTATTTTGCCACTAGAAGTGCAGGGAAATGCACATACAGTGGTACCAACCTGAAACAGCACTTCTGAGAAGTGTTGTCAGGCAAGAAATAAAATACATGCGTTCGTTTTCCCCATGGCCTCTGTCAAAGCCAACTGACTGAGACACAGAGATATTCCATTAAACTCACGAGATGCTCCCTTTTGGCTTGCAAGCATCAAAACACCTCACAGCTATGCTTAAATCAGGGCTTTGAGTCCTCTCCAGACCTGTGCGCACAGGACTGCACTTAAAACACTGCTTATGTCTCAGATGATGGAGCTTGTACTGACTCACAGACTATTTCCCACAGCTCCATAAACACTGTTAACTATTACCATGAGTGCTCCCTCCTTGCTGCTGGGTCCTACCCCTTCTGACAATCATTACTCCTCTCGTGCCGTGAGGTGTCAGGACAGTGGCAATACACAGGCAGCACAGAGAGATCAGGTTTGCTACCGTAAATCCTCTTAGCCAAAACCAACCAATTCACTGCCAGAAAGCGAAGCAACAAGTGTCTCGCAGAGGAGAAACAAGTAATTGTAAGGAGGAATCGGCATTACCTTTGACTTAAGTCATTTCTTCACAGTGGAGCTGCAGGATGTCAGTGATTATTCTTGAGAGCAAAGTCTAGAGAGTGAAGTTACAACTTAACCCACAGCGAATGCACACAAAGCTCCCTCCCACGAAGCACAGCTGTGAGGGTTCTTTTTTTTGTGGGGTTTTTTGGATGTGTTTTTTTGGTTGGGTTGTTGGGGTTTTTTCTGTTTTTTTTTTGTCTTTTGAGAGAGAGTTACAATCATCACAGTATAAATAGAAATGGCTGCACTTGCTCCTTTCACTGAAATCTCTGCGAGATCCAACTGGATCAAACATCTCTTCCCAGTCTGTGGCAGCCTGAAAGGCAGGCAGCACCATTGGGGTACCGGGTGACAACTGAGGATATTCACACTCTGAGTGGTCTGACCAGCACTGCAATGCAAAGGCAGAGTTTAGGGAGCCTCTGAGCTCACTTTCTGTCTCATTTACTAGCTTTCCATTAATGATCGTTGCCAAAACTCAGTCTGCAGAGTCAGATACGAGCTGAAGCAGAAGTCTGAAACCAGCCAGCAAGGAGAGAAAAGTCTCTCAGAAAAACACGGGAATGAGAAATAAAATGAATTTAATCAGTCAGAAGGAAAGGAAAAGATCCCTCTGACCTATGCTCTGTTTGAAGATTAGCCCAATACTAAATAATAATACATTAAATAATTGAGTAACTTATTGATAATACATTAATTTTAATAATGTATTAATACCTACTACATTAAAAACGGAAAGAAAAGTGTTTTCCCAGGAAAGTTTGGTCTGTTGTCTCCTTGTGGTTGTACACAGAGATCACAATGAAGCACAGTGCAGAGAGCCCTGACCTTTTCTAGCTGAAGCAGTAGAGCCAGTGTAGTGGCAGAGCATAACCCAAGAAGCAGAGCTTACTATCTTATATCCAGTGCTGGATCCAATCATCTAGGGTGATTACCGTACTTCTGGACACCGGCTAGCATTTCTGCACAGCTTGCACTGTACGAGACAGTCCCACCAGCTCCACACAGCACTAAGCTGAAGGTCTCTTCAGCACCCAAAAACTTTATTTGACATTCACTACAGTCTTTCATTCCTTGTGTTTAACAGGGGCTATGGAAACTACAAAACCAGCACTGTTCATCTCATGAAGAAGACTCCAATTTTTCATAAATAAGAGTACCTAGGAAAAACTTCTTGGGTCACTGAAAAGAAGGAAAATGCTGATCCAGTGGAGCAAAACCTGAAAGTTTTGCAGCAAAGTTTGCCAGAGCAAGGATTTAAACAGAAGATCCAAATAAAGAACAGCATTCTTAGGACCACTTGCCCACCCAATGCCGTATTGCTGAATCAAGGGACAAACCTCCTGCGACCTTCACTGTCAGGGCATCAAGGCATGGTAGTGATACTCAATGTCCCTTTACAAACACCAGCTGTGAAACTGACTTCCCTAAACAATGGCACTATGTTTCGGGGGGAGGGGGGAGAAGTTGGAGAAATATAGTGTTTATTTTTTCATTTGCAAATCATCTATCACTGCAGCACAAAGTAAAATGAAAGTCATCATATTCAACTGAGTTTCAACACAGAAAATAACACTTTTACTGCAGCGGATTTTCATAAACTCATGATGTAAACCAATCCAAAACGCCTACTTGTTTTCAGAAAGTGTCCTGTACCAAAAAACATAGCCTCTTCTGCAGATCCCTTTCCCATTTCTTAGCACATTCTGTGTTACACTGTTTCATGCATTAAAATTACTGCAGACCAAAGCTTAAACAGGACTATGGTGCAGCATTCACCTCTCACAAGTAAATATACCATGTAGAGCTTTAATCAACTTTTGAAAGGGATGCAAAGTAAAGTTAATATAAGAAAGAAATACTAAAGAAAAAGAAATAAAACAAAGTATATAAAGACACAGCCTGATAGGAATTTATCAATGTAATTATAAATGCAGTAAAGCTGGCTATCTGTGAACTTTGCAACTTTATGCACAGAAAATGGAAAAGTTTTGCTAATCAGTTACTGGAACAATCTGTTTGGAATTGTATTTATTCAGCTAATTGAACATTGTCATCTGCTCAGAACAGCTACACTGCAGCTTACTGGTTGGATAGTAAAGAAAAGCAGGTAAAAAAAAGTTAAGTGGATGTTAATGCCGAAAAATAATAAGATTATAAATAAAAAGGAAATAGCATTCTTATTTTAATTTGTATCGAGGAACTTTCTGCTCATCTAAGCCTTTTAAAGCCCTTTTAATATAACAGCAAATAATCCTGGATACACTGCTTGTCCAACCCAGGTTTTACTTCAGCTTTACCCTGTTTTCTTATTTCCAGTAATGCACCACCTTTGCATTAGAGCCTCTCTGGAGCCCCGGCACTTCACAACTAATCATTGAAGTGAGCAAGCTATTGTAAAAGGCTTAACAAGCTTTAGCCCTCAATCTTGTGTTGCGATTACCTCAGAATAATTACTTCTGGAGATAACTGATGAAGATCATATTAGGCTAAGGCAAAACAGAGACCCGGCTAAGTGTAAATCAATTACAGCTGAAAAGAGACAAGAGGGGACAAAGATATTACAGGACTTTTGCTATAATTTATGGAGCAGTCGTGGAGAATTCGGTTAATTTCTCGTACTTACAATAGCTGTCGGAGTTGAAGCCAGCACACAGTAGAGCACAAGAGGTGAAATGAAGCTCTCATCCTCTGTTCCAGGATACGGTTTCATCAAATTGCCGTCCTGACAGAAGAAACCTTGGATATGCACCTGAAAAGTATCGGTGCACTCGAAGTAGTAGGCGAGCAGAACAGTCCCGGCCATGATGACAAGCTGAAAATACAGCATGGTCACACAGAGACGTTAGTCGCTTTTTTAACCGATGCATCTATGCCTTCGAGCCACTCTAGCCCTGCAGAGCATCCTCCCTTTACCGTCACCCCGACAGCCCTCGCAGCAACGGTGTGCCAGCATGTGCGTTTCTGCGCACCCGCTCAGCAACATCCGTTACATAAACCTTTTGGCAAACGGCACTAATGAACGTCTCGGAGAGGAGCGGGTCCGTAACGCCGCTTGTCGAGGGACGGGAGCTCTGACAGCTGCTTTGTCAAAGGCCATGTGAGTGTCAGCAGCAGCGACGATCAATGAAAGCTCGCAGGACGAGGGGTAGCGCTGCAGGAGCTGACAGGGACAAGCTAAAACCTGTGCACAGCCGCAGGGAGCTGGAAAGGATTATTACAAAGGATAAAGGAAGTTCAAGCCAAAATGCTTTCCCGCAGCGGCTGTAAGCCCGTGCTGGGGAACGTGCACCCTGTGCTAACCCAGAGGAGCTCTCTGCGTCCCCGATGAGGACTCATCCAGAGGGAAACCTGCCTCCTGCCACTCACCTTTCCTTGGAGCCGCTGCTTACCAGTAAAGCTTGAGAACTCTACTTTGAAATCCCGACTCCCTGAACAACGGGTTGGGGTGACACCGCCTGACTTCCCTGCTCCATCACAGCTGCCTCTGAAAAAGACTCTGGCTCGAGCCTGGATCTTCATCTTCACACCTATAAACTGCAAGGGGCCTTTCGTGTCTCTTTTTTGGTTGTTTATCGCTGGCTAAACAGGCTGGAAAACAGCTATAAACTTTTTTTGTATATACCCACTGTTACTGCGCCTGAGCTATTGTCGGTGTCTGTGCCTGCTTCCCGCACTGCTTCAACAGCACATCCCAACACCATCTCAGACTGTCACTGATCTCACCTCATGAAATTAAGTGGATATACTAATTCATCATTCCTGTTCCCTCTCTGCCAGACCGCAAAGGAAATCCCATGTCACAATCCTCATCATTTACAAAAATAGCAATATTGATTTGGAAATTATGACAATTAAGGGATCTGATTCGGAATCCTCTTTACAGAGACTAGTGCCTTCTGCCACTATTACAAGAGTTGTCACATATACAAGTTTTCTTGCCACACCATAGAAAATAATAATAATAATAAAGAAAGTGAAACAGTAAACTCCAAAGTGGCTTGGGTTTTGTATTTTGCCTCCAAGATTTCTGCATCAAAACTGTGTTGCTGTGAGATTATTGTAATAATAAATTTAATAAAAAATAATTTTGGGAACTCTGTCTCAAAGGTACACTTACAAGTGATCCCTGCATTCCTCTGTCCTAACCTTGCACATAATGCTCTGACACACAAGACAGCCATTAAAGTTGTCGTATATTTGAGTGGCTGTTGGACTAAAATTAGAAAAAAACGCATGAAATAAGAGAAATCGCTGATGAAAGTAGAAGATCACAGAATCACAGAGCAGTTGAGGTTGGGAGGGACCTCTGGAGGTCACGTGTTCCACTCCCCCTGCTCAAGCAGGGACACCTTGAGCCAGTTGCCCAGGACCACGTCTAGATGACTTTTGAGTATCTCCAAGGATGGAGACTCCAACCTGTAAGGTAGACTTAAGCAGGGCAAAGTGAAGCCAAAGTTGAAAGATTCTGCACCCTCCCCCACTTTTTACCTTCAAAATTAACAATATAATTTTGTAGCCAGATTCTAAAAATTAATTCCACCCCTGGACAGTGCAGCCTGGATTGTTTAATGTTTTTAGCTCAACCAATTAGCTCTCTGGATTCAAACATCAACTTCTGCTTATTACAGAATTATGGTACGAAGGGAAATTTATAGAGACAAAGCACATAGCCCCTTTTTAGAAGCTTAAGCAAATAGGAATCTACATAATTATTTCCTCAAAAGATGCATATTCTCTCTTTATCCCACCCTGATCTACAGCATGAATGTAATACATCAATATAAAATGTTACTCAAGCATTTGTTTTCTGAAGATTTTGGCTTTGCTGATGATTCAGTAACTTTAAGATCCAGAACTTTGAAAGCCACCACCCCACAATGAATTGCAGATAAGCTAACTATGTACGGTCGGTCCAGGGCAATTGCTCTCTGCTGCTCCTTCCCACTCACACTTCTCCTATGTCCTCTGGTGTCCATTGGAGACAGCTGGAACTGGCTGAAAACTCAAAAGATTTAGTCTGTGTACTTTTTTTCGTATGCAATATCTACCTCTAAAGGTGTGTGAACAAACGTACTGTCTCACATAATTTTATCTGGATTGTATAATAATAGCTTTAGATGGAACTGCTGAAGTATTCAACTTCTTAAATCTGTAGCTGAAAAACTACTTACTTTTTCCACCTTTCGTTGCTTATCCTGATATTTTCAAGACTCCATACCTGTCCCAAATGGTATTTTTTTAAACAAATGTAAAGCAAGATGCTGTTACTTGTGTATCCCCCAAAGACCTTTACAGCATCCTGGATGAGTTAGTGGGATTCATTATAAACAAACAGAGTCCTGTAATTAGGGATTTAGAAGACCTCAGTTTAACTCCTTGAGCAGCTATAGATCTCCTGATCAACTTTGGGCAGCTCAGTTTTATAAATTAACATCAGAGGAAGGCAATGACACTCTCACTACTCTACCTGACGTGCCTAGGTAAACACGCTCGAGATTACAGTATGCCTGGATATAGAGGTATTTGAGCTCAGCTGCAGCACCTCATATGCCCGGGGCTGTCAGAAGCAACCTGACCCACTCCTCTTACCCCAAACACACCCCCAGACATCCTTGAGGTTGCCAGCTCCAGCCAGCAGACACAGGGGAGAGAACAAGAGACGGTACAATAGAGACAGCTGGGTTTTCCCCTGTTACTGGGAAAGGCAGAAAGCAGGTACTGAACTTATAGCCTTCTTTGGGCATCATAAGGAAAAAAATACTTTTTTAAAAAAATATTTTTTTTTTATATAGGAGGAAAATTTCACTTATCCCAAATGTGCTCCTAGCCAGCGGGTGCAGAACTAACTTGACTTTACCTGTACCGAATGCTGCCTCAGCGCTGCATGAAAAACCCTCCTGAATATAAAATAGAGCTCTAGTCGGACTTATGTCAATACTGACCTACACCACCACAGATACCTCAAGAACAAACCCAATCCTGGTCACACTTCAATTTCTGCACTTTGTTCTTTAGAGAAAGAAAAAACATATTATCTGCAAAAAGAGATCTGAATTGAGAAAACATGAGGTCCCCCAGGTGATGCCCACCATCTCATGGAAACGGCAACAGCAGACATCAGAAATTAGACCTCCAGCTGAACAGACCCTACCACAGCCCCATGATGACAAGGGATGACGTGAGGTACAGAAAGGACAGCCCAGTTATTACCACAAATGTGAGCAACATTTTTGCTGCTCATACAGTCAGTGAAGACCTCGCCGCATCTGTGCGGCATGTTCTCATGCCTCACGTTGAGTATTCACTAGTCTAAGGAGCTTCTTAGCAAAAGGCAAACAGAAATATGGAGAAGTTATTTTCTTTTTCCCTCCCCTCCCCTCCCCTCCCCTCCCTTCCCTTTTCTCCCTGTTTTCAGGTTTACAATCATTGAAGGAGGCAATGAAGAAGAGCAGGTAATCTGACAATATCTTAAGATACAAAACATCCAGTTACATAATTCAGAAAACACAACACAGTTTAACACTGACATTTTGCATGGTTTATTTATTAATCCCTATCAACTCATTTCCTTGAGTTTACTCGGGAAAAATTAAAAATGCTCAATAATTCACTTTAGAAAAGCAGCCAATGAATACAAGTATCTAAGCTGCTTAATGGCCTCTATTACCACAGTATTTAACCATGTCATAATCCTTAATATTTGTCATCAGTACTCCATGGTAAGATAAGAAAATGCTCTTATCACCATTTCACAGAGAGGGGACAAAAGCAGAAGACATAAAATGACTGCCCTCAGGTCACAGTAGAGCCTGTGGCACAGCTGAGATTTACCTTTCTTCTGGATCAGATTTTTCTGGATTAGTCAATAATCTGCACATGAAAAAGCTCAACGATACACGATAGGTCCTGATTCTGCAGAAGCTCATTCATGACAGTGTTAAGAAAATATATCGTGTCTGATTCAGCCCCATTTAAAAACTCCTGCTTGACTTTATATCAAGCCTGACAAGCTGGGCTCAAACAATTGACATGTGTTTTCTCCTCAAAGCCAGCTATTTAAATGGATTAATTCTGCAGCACTTAACACCTGTCCCTCACCACACCATTAAATTCTCCACGGCTCTACAAGCGCACACCGGTTCTGTCCTTGCAGACCTCACCATCGCTGCACACCCTTGCTCCTCTTTAAGTCATGGGAGTTCTCTGCACTCTAAAAATCACTTTCTTAAATGTCCAAGAAATATGAAGCAAGTCTTGTAGTCTTCTTTAGGCAACTGGTAACCGTTTGGTGCAGGTGCTAACCGGGTAATAGTGTAAGACTGTGTCCTGAGTACAAAGAAAGAGCATCTTCAAAGTAAGCCATGCAATTCAGTTGCACTAATCCCAGGGCTACAGGGATATATCCGCAAATCCTCCCCTTCACCCTAAATACTCTGACAGAGTAACTCAGAGACCACTCCACACCCCAAACAAAATTATTGCAATACCAGATAGTGGGACTGAAGTCCCAGACTGCATACACTCTCTTTGTTCGACTACAAAGCACTTCCCAGTTCCCTTAAGAAAAATTGGAAGATCTTTTTGTTTTGGTTTGATTTGGGTTTGTTTTTTTTTTTTTTTTAATGTTACCCATAGAAAAGAGGCCCTCATTTTGCAAACAACAAAGCAAGAGGCCAACTCCATGTGGGAAAGGGACATAAAGCTGTAAAAGACGGAGATTAATGTTAAAAGGCAGCAGACACGGTGGGAGGCGGAGGTTTTTGATCAACCTATGCTGAAGGGTCCCCCAGAGTTCTTCATGGAGGAGAAAGG